TATTCTGTAGCCTTATTTTGTACATATATAATTATTGTTGAACATAGATATACAAGTTGGAAGATTGGTATTAAAATCATCTAGTTTGAGCTACATGATGAACATTTCAAGACCAAACATAAGGATATAATATACTAATTTTAAATTGGAAAACTAATATTTATGACAGTGCCATGATGTTTTGAATTGGAAACTGAAATTTAGGATAATAATGTTCTAAATTTTGAACTGAAAAATCCAAACTTACAATAGCAAAATTGACAATGTTAAGTTTTGATTAATATTTAATACTTTATACTTATAAGTTGCATTTAGAGATTTTGAAGTGAAAATACATAATTTAGGGATACAATTTCTTGAAATTTGAACTGAAAAATTCAACTCATCTGAAATATTAAACTAAGAAAATGAACATGAGGATATAGAATTATGAATTATGAAATTATCTCACAATACCAAAACTGCCCTTATTTGTCTCATCACATTTTCAGCACAAGGTACAATTATTTTAAGTTGTTTTAGTCCTTTAGAAGTGCCATTTCTAAATAAGGGTAATAAATATATAATATAGGAGTAAAATAATAAGAGAAAAGAAAATTGATGGGTAAAATGTTCTTTAAAATTTGTATAAAATAGAGAAATCTGATACCGTGCTAATTACATCCTATTCCGGAAGTCTTCTTAATTACAATAATTTTGAAATTTTCATTGCTCTCAGATACATTACTTAAGATTCAGTTGCGTCGGATATATTCCTCTACTGTCGAATACATTGGTCTCTACTCCGTTGTTGTGTCATACATTCCTCTATTGTCGGATACATTGATCTCTACTGATTCTGTTGTGTCAGATACATCCCTCTATTGTTGGATACATTTGTTTCTACTATGTTGTTGTGTTGGATCCATTTCTATATTGTGGGATACATAACTATATATGAACATGATTCATAATGGGAGGGATGTATCCAAGAGGAGATTTTTGTAATTTTTATAAATGGTAGGAAATTTTACATACATACTACTTGGCTGGAATATTAAAACTTTTATTCAATGACTAAAATATCCCAGCACATAGTACAATTTTTGTGGCGGTGTTCAGGAGTGCACCTGGTTTGCTTACAAACTAAATAACAATACACGTGTCAACAGGGAAAAGATGAAGGCTCATCCCAAACAATTAACTTTGAATCTTGAATTAGAGTCGCTAATGAACTCTGTTTACTAATATTGCAAGTGAAATTCTCATCAATGTCAATAGGAATTTTGAAACGTGAATGAGCTGTTTGTCCTCCTGGAAGTACTATTTGACTCCTCTCTAATTCAAAAACGTTTCATACACTTGCCAATTAGAACTTTTGGATCCTCACTCGCTTAAACAATTGTGTTGCTGAGTGAGGCAAGTGACCGAGAAAAACAGTCAACTTCTAGAAACAGACCTGCTTTGGAAAATGATTGATTTCAGATTCTCTAATTTTCAAGCCTTCAAGTACAATTTCACACCCTTTTCAAGCTTTTAAGATTTGTAGGGAACCATAGTGTTCTATTTTGGATGATGTTGTATTAGTATTTAGTAGTTATTCTTAGATAGAAGTTATGCTTTTAATATCATCTAAATTTCTTCCGTTATTTTTGTATTGTTTGAATTGCAACTTCTGATTTATTAGCAGACTGACAGACGATTCCAAAACACCATAGTTTATCATATTCATAATTACAATTGTGGAATTGAGAGGATGATCATACAATAGGAGACTAATGATGTTTGGAAATGATTTAGGTAATATTCATTTCCTTAATGAGTTATTATCTGTATTTTTGACACACATAATATTTTATGAAGAAGTTTTCACATTTTATGTCATTATGCATGTAGGATAGGTTTTGCTTTAAAAATTTCTTGTTCAACTTTTCCTTTAAATAAGTGAAATTCAAGATATATAGTTTAAGAGGAAATGACAATAGGGTTGTGGACCGTCTCAACTTCATTTGAAAGTGTGACGCCCCAAAATCTTCAAGCACACAAGAAGAGAGATGATACATGCAAAGAGTGAAGAAGAGAGAAGCACCAGAAAAATTTGTGAATACAAAATGGGGCTACCCGAAAGAAGATGAAGAGAAATAAGGAACTAAAGAGCAAACATGTGTTAAATAGTCACATATGGATCCAAGTATAAACTATAAAGCAAACATTTCTTAGCTTGTTGCACAATTTGTATCCTCTACATATGATAAACAATGACATGCTAATCTTATATATCAAAACTGAAACATCTGCTATATCACTCTTCTAAGTAAGGGTAATTATTTTGGTCGTATTACATTAGTTAGTATTTGCAGATCGTTCAAGTTGGCATCATACTGATGTCTGTTGTACATATTCTAAATATTTCTAATAGTATATAATATATGATATTATCCATCTTCTGCAAAATGTATCACCCTTGATTCATTAGTATTAATATTTTTACAAGCATAATATTTTGACTATTGGGCCTGTGCTTGCCACGGGTCTCCCCCATCTAGTATATATATATATATATATTCCACTTTCATTCTGATATCTTGATTACTTGGACCAAGTCGTCAAATTTCTACTGTTCGACTTTCATTTGTTGATAGTTAACAAATTGTGACACAAAATATGAAATGCTTTTTTTTATATTGTTCCATTAGTAAATATTTACTAAATCATGACACATTTGCCTAGAATCTGAATGTTGAAATGGAAGTTTTTTTTTTGTTTTGTAATCACTCTTTGAAGATTATCCATATTAGATACACATAAGTGATTTTCAAAGCTTTAACACACGTTTTCATCAATATAGCAATTTTAGGTCATCAAATTATATACATTTGACTTGTTCCACTAAAATATATTATATTCATTTTCTCTATTTACTACATTAGCAATTTTATTCATTTTCTCTATATCAAATTTATCTCTTTTTGTTTGAAGATATATATATTTGCATGCTCTTCTGATCTGTATAAATGTTACACTACTCCTCCTAGTGATAATGACGCTATATCTTTAAAGCAAAAGTGTAAACATCTAATAATGATGCCACATCTTTAATGCAAAAATCACAAACCGTAAAAATAAATAAGGTGACATCTAATATGATCAAATTTTACAATATAAATGCCATGATATTTTTAAATTACTTCCTCTATTTCAATTTATATGATTCATTTTTCTAAATTTGTTTAGAAAAGACTTGACATATTTTTATATTTAGTAATAGTTTATTTTTAAAATACCTATTTTTTTAACCTTTAATGATGAAATGCTTTCATACAACTATTATCACTTATAGAGCTGTTAATATGGGCTGACCCACCCCATCCATGCTAACCCATACATGCTTTGAAATTTTACGGGTCAGGCCGGACCAGCCCATTTTTTGTGTGGGGCCAGATCATCAAATTTCTACTGTTCGCCTCACTTTTTGATTGTTAACACATTGAGACACAAAATATGATTTTTTTATTTTATTGTTCCACTAGTAAATATATTTTAGATCATGATACATTTTGCTAGAATCTGAATGCACAACATATGTTGAAATAGAAGGTTTTTTTTTTTTTGTAATCCCTCTTTGAAAATTATCCATATTAGATACACATAAGTGATTTTCAAAGCTTAAACACACGTTTTCATCAATATAAAAATTTTACGTGATCAAATTATATACCTTCGACTTGTTCCACTAAAGTAGATATCAATCACTCACAACTTAGCCATACTTTCCATAGAACTTTTGCTCGAGGATTGATAACTATATTAGCTTTGTCCCGATCCCAGGGGTGGCTCTTGCTTATAAAATTTAAGGCATTGGCCTTAGGCCCCCCGTTTTTGGGGGCCTCAAATTTCTATAAATAAAAATTATGTATTTTAATTCCATTAAAATAGAAGAAATCAAGAAAACATTGTTTTGGACTCTTACATTTTTTTCGCTAACACTTACATTATTTATTTATTATTTTTAACTCTTTTTTGCACTCTATTTTTTCAAATCTTTGATAGTTAGAGTAATACACTCTCAAAAATATGAATCAATAGTCGAAAAGTGTTGAACAAAGTAAATTACAAATTCTTTTTTTATTTCTTCGTAAATTTTCATATTAAAGTAGGAATACAAAGTTATCAACTTTTTGAATCAGATTCTATGATTCTAACTCTTATCTTTAAAGTTTATCAACTTATTACTTATAGAATTATGTTCATAATTCATATAATAATTGTCTTAATAAAAGGATGTTTTTCAATGTTAAATTGATAAAATCTTACCTAAAATAATAATTGAAAAAAGTATTTGAAAAAATTATTTATATAAAAGATATTTAGTAGTAATTTACATCTAAAAATTTAGAAAACGAAATAAATACAAAGAAAGTTTATTTAGATTTTAGGCCTCTAATTAAAATTTTGCTTTAGGCCTCGAATTATGTTGAGCCGCCCCTGCCCGATCCCGATGGTAAAAATATATTATAATCATAATCTATAGGCAATTCTAGTCATCTATATTTGTATGCTCTTGTGATCAGTATAAATGTCACACTGCTCCTCCTAGTAATAATGACGCTATATCTTAATAATGAAATGATTTCACACAAACGTTGTCACTTTATTTTAGATCACAAATTTCAAAATTCATATATATATTTTTAAAACTCGAGTATAATTATAAAAATATTATAATTGACACTTAGCTGCCTCTAATATGACACATTTGGGCGCGAGTGAAGTGAAAGAGAGAGAGAGTCCACCTACCCAATTTTCATTTCCTCCACAGCTTCACCAAACACATAACCAAATACTATTGCTTCTTCCACGTTTTCCCATACAAATAAATTCCATTCCCTACAAGGATTCTGCTGATATTTTTTTTATTTCACTCCTACAAGGTACTCTCCTCTTTCAAATTTTATGTATTTGTGTTTGTTGAGATCTGAAATTGCACATATGAAGTGATAATTATGAGCAATTAGGTGTTTGAATTTTGCAGAAAACTGCTCTGCATTTGAGCAAATAGACTAATAAAATGGCAGTGCTTAAGCTCCCAGTTGCAGTAACGTGCGGAAGAACTAGTGGTACAGAATGTTCAGCAAGAAGAACCTTAAACAAACCCTTTTTAATTAAGACTTCAACATGGAACAATTATCTTGGATCAAGATCTACCAAGAGGTCTAAATTGAACAATGTTATTAGAAATTGTGGGTTATCCAGTGATGACCAAGCTGTTGATTACAACTTAGATTCTTCTAATCTTGAAGAGAAATTTGGCTCAACCAGAGATCGACTCTCAAATCAAGGAGCTATGTAAGATTTCCATTTTACTCATTTTTTTCTAGGAGTTAGGAGCCTTGTGTATATTGGTGATTTTTTTTTTTAAATATAAAAGTGTATTAGAGAGTGTTTCCTATAGCTTGTTTGTATGTTTATTCAAACATACAAACCATAAAAAAAAAGATTTTGTTATGAAAATTAGATTCATGGGGAAATTCTACCAAGAAATATAGGTGTGGTTCAGTTCTTACTGTACTCCGTTCCCTCTGCTAAATTTTAGACCTCAGTGCATTGTCAGGGACATCTATTGATCTATTGCCAACTCAGGATGTACAAACTGAACTTATAGTGCTTTCTTTGCCTGCTATTGCTGGACAAGCAATTGAACCATTGGCACAACTAATGGAGACAGCACATATTGGACGAATGGGTTAGTCACTGTCCGATATTCCATTTAGTTTATGCTTCTGCTTGCATTATACTGCTAGTACTGTCCTGTTTTTTCTGTACTTCTCTCTTTTGAGAATGGTGTATTTGCTTGTGTGCTGAATCCACTAATTAATTGATTTCACTGAGATTATATCTTTATTATACTGGTTTTCGTTTCTGTTGAGCTTCCTATCATCCTGGCTTATTCTGAGAAATAAATGTAAGACGGTACGACTTCAGTTCTTCCTGTTGTTGAGAGGAGTGTGATTCATCTGATCTAGCCAGAGATAATTTTTTCCTGTATATTACACTATATACTTTGTTATGTGTTCTAATCAGGTAGCCTCATGGCCTTACCTTGTTACTTATTCATCTGAAGAACTTCAAGCATACATAGAAAATCTGTTAAATGCCAATCCTCTTGATTTTGTTCTACTCAATTTTTTGAGATTTTGTGCATTCTTTCGAGCAATTGCTTTCTTGAGTTCTTTATTGAGGAACAGAAGTTCCCCTTGGATTTCAAGTTTTTTTTTTTCAATTATATTAGTTAGCATGTGCTTCATATTTCCTAACTCAAATCTTTGGATAATTTTTTTCATCTTTCCATTTTTTCTACGAATAAGTGTTTTAACGGAAACAATGAACGCTAGTTCACTCCTGAAAAGCTCTTTGCTTTGATTAAAGGTGCATTGGAGTTGGCATCAGCTGGCATTTCTGTATCAATCTTTAACATAATATCAAAGGTGTTCAATATCCCTCTCCTGAGTGTGGCAACGTCATTTGTGGCTGAAGACATCTCTAAGTATGCAGATGAGGATTCCGCAGCTGGTAAATTTGCATAGGTGCTAAAAGGGAATCTCCTTATAAGCATGGCACTTCTTAGATTACACATATACACAGGGTCACACATTCACCTATATATTTAGGCAGATGGTAAACAATTAAAAGATAAATATTATTTGAATGCATCTGAAAGAACCAAGTGTTTCCTGAAACAGCTGAAAGAAAGGCACTTCCGTCTGTCTCCACTGCCTTAGTTTTATCTGCTGGGATTGGTTTGATTGAAGCTGCAGCAATGTATCTCGGTTCTGGACCATTTCTCAGCATCATGGGTTTATCAACGGTAAGTAACCCTCACTGAAATACATTTGGACAGCCTGATGTGTTGTTTACATGCTATTATTTTTTAAGCTTGTATACTTTCCAATCACAGGCCTTGTATATGCTTGCAGATTGAAATTGCATTATGATAACTAGAATCTTGAACCCTTTTCAACAGGATTCAACCATGCGCATTCCAGCGGAGCATTTTCTTAAACTTAGAGCGCTTGGTGCTCCAGCTGTTGTGCTTTATCTGGCTGTGCAAGGCATCTTCCGTGGGTTTAAGGACACAAGGACCCCTGTAATGTGCTTAGGCAAGTCTTCTTAACTATTGGTACAATATTCATGGAAAGAGTTTTAAGACTTGGGTGTTAATCTCTTTGGTTTATACAATATATAAAACTCCCTGGTCTAACTTACCCAACTTTTTGTTTTTCATGTAATGCCTTTTGTCTACTTTGCATTTTTGCTTACACTTATCTTGAGAAAGGCTCTGTCTGTTCCATTGCATGCCTTCAAATAGCAGTTTGGAATCTAGATGAATGTGTGTAACTAAGTTTTTAGGATTGTAGATACGTTATTGTATATGTTTCAATATATCTCCACATCTAAGAAGAGCACTTATTTTTATTTTATTTTATGTAAGAATGGCATGTTCAGTGTCAAGTCATGTACGGATCAATCATAGAAACAGATTACAACAGAAATTTTTTGGTGAGGTGTAATCTGGGGAAAAAAGAGCTCTTGGAGAAGTAGTAATTTACCTTTTTGGTGTGTTGTGTCACTAGCTATATATGCTAGAGGAAGAAATCTCCTCAGAATATTTTTCTGCATGAAAGAAGTTAAACTGATTCTTTCTCTATTAGTTGAGCATGCATTTTATTTTTTTTGAAGTTATGAATAACTAGATATTCTTTCAATATCCTTTAATTTCTTTTCTCTAAGACTCTAACTTTAACTGGTAGAAAATGTGTGGATGTCGCAGGATTGGGGAATCTGTCAGCTGTACTTTTCTTTCCCGTCTTCATGTATACTTTTCAGCTGGGCATCACTGGTGCCGCCATTTCTACTGTTGCATCTCAGTATGTTCCTGGAAAGTTCTAGTTTGTTCTCTTATAACATCTGGCGAAAAGAAGCTGACGACTTTAAATTGCAGATATATTGTGGCCATTTTGATGTTATGGAAGCTTAATGAAAAGACGGTGTTGCTGCAGCCAAACATCAGGAACTTGCATTTTGGTGGCTATTTAAAATCGGGTAAGTGATGTTGTTGAGCTAATTAATCCCTTGGACATGTTTTTTGTTCGAAAATTGTCTGAGCTGTTGTATATACTTTCTTATGTAATTTCATGATGATAAAAAATAAAATCTCAAGTGCTGTTGACATGTTTTTTATGTGTATCCTTCTTTTCCCTCAGAGTGGTTTTGGATGTTTCATTACTTTGGCTTAAACTAGTCTCTTCTTAGAATATTGCAGACTACAGATTATAGTTACAGTTCCTCTCTGGAAGAGTTGTAAAACAACTACATGAGCTAGAAGCTTAGTTCCTACAAGGAGAAAAGATGCTTCAGTGTACTAGCAGTGATGGTTTCATTTGTTTTACTGTAGATGCAACTTATGGAAATTCTTGAAAGAAACAAAAAATTACTCGAACACTTGTAATTTGATCCAACTCTTTCTACTCTGAAATTGAATTTCAAGTATTAGCCGTTCTGATGATTAGTTCATCAGAAATGATGTTCCTGTAATTGAGCTAGTCCAGGTATTAATTGAGAGTCTGCATTCTCGTGTTAGTCTCTGAGAGAGTAAGGTTTGAACTTTCGTGTGTCATTAGGTGGTTTCCTTCTTGGGAGAACTCTAGCTGCTGTTCTTACAGTAACTTTGAGCACATCAATGGCGGCTCGATTAGGAGCAATACCCATGGCTGCCCATCAGATATGCTTGCAAGTGTGGTTGTCTGCCTCGCTACTGGCAGATGCCCAAGCTGCATCTGGTCAGGTAAACCCTATTGAAGTTCTAACACCCTTCATTTGTTCCCATTATGAATGAGTTTGCAATTCTATCTGCATGGTGATGGATGTTAAAGGCACCTTCCGTTGGAACATTTCTTTGTCATAACTAAGAGACCTGGTGGACAAGTCTGTAGTTCTCAACAGACTTCAGTTGACTGTTAGCCTTTTATTACGATTACTAAACCATTTTTTTATTCATGTTGGAATCACATGCACATATGTTTACACTGCATGACTATTTTGTATTTTTTCTATTTAACCTTTTGGTTTGTTCACTGTGGTTGTGGTCCTGTACGAGATCTTCTGCAAAACATCAAAGCATGAATATGCCCTCATTGCAGAAATCTTTATCAGTTTTACTGTTTGACAAATGTAGATTTCCATTTTCCATTTTGCAGGCTCTCATTGCAAGTTCTTTTGCAAGGAAGGACTATGGCAGAGTTAAGTTGATCACACATGTAGCTTTAAAGGTTAGATAGACCTTTTTTACATCTTATAGCTCTCCTCTCCCAGATGGAAGGATTTGAGCCATCCTTATCTGTCTCTCAAAATAAAGTTCTTAACAAAGTGCAATTCATATTTTCAGACAGGATTAGCTACTGGAATTTTGTTAGCCATTATATTGGGTCTATCCTTTCCATCTTTCGCGAAGTGCTTTACAAATGACTCTCAAGTGCTAGACATTGTTAGATCTGGTTTACTGGTACGCTCTTTTTTAATTCTGCACTTAGTTTATATGTTTCTTTCTTTCATGGTATCTTTCTCAACATCTCCTGTCCAATTTTACAGTTTGTTAGTGCCAGTCAACCCCTTAATGCTCTAGCCTATATTTTTGATGGGCTACACTATGGTGTTTCAGATTTTCCTTATGCAGCTATCTCAATGGTAAGCAACCTCTATAAAATTGTTGCAACAATTAAAAGAAAAGTTACTCTTCATACTCGAACTTGGTGCTGATATTTCCTCACAACTTTCTAGATGATCGTGGGTGCTCTCGCTTCAATATTTCTTATTTATGCTCCTCCTATTATTGGTCTTCCTGGTGTTTGGTCTGGTTTGACTATTTTCATGGGGTTGCGCTCAGTGGCTGGTTTCATGAGGTAATTCAACTACCAAATAAACTATGTACAGATTACGAACTACTATATTGAATTGGACCTTTTAAAATGTCAATTTCCCCATAAATCTACTGAACTGGTCCCCGGAATCTCTTTACATCTGTATTTCCAAGTTCATGCAGATCTCTTTTGCAAAGGAAATATAGAGAAAAAATTTCTCTTTTTACTTTTCAAATCTGCAATTTTCTTTGGGTGTTTTTGGGAGTAAGGTTGAACGGTTGACTGTAGGTTGATAAGGGATCCTTTGTGGAATTTAAATTATAGAGAGCATTGTCAAGGGTTGTCACATTGTACATTCTGAAGTACTCTCTGTTGAAGACCTTTGCTTCATTCTGTTTGTAAAATTCATAATTCATGCATCTATTTCAGATTATCAGCGAAAAATGGTCCATGGTGGTTCTTACAGGACTCACAAGAAAATGAGGTCAGTTGACTCTATATTTCATTATGGTTCACTAGTCAGGTTACAACTTGCACTAATGTTGATGCGCTGATTATTCTTTTGAAACGCTGGCATGTGTAGCTCTGAATAACATATATAACCCACACCCACCCACTCCCCACGCACACACAAACAAAAGAAAAGGACGGAAAAAGAAATGATAGAAGTGCATACTGTAATTATATCCTGGCAGTTGAGGCATTTCAGATACTTGGCAAAATTTGAATCGATTTATATACTGGTACAGCGACATTAGGTTGGGGACAAAGTTGGTTAATGTTGTGAAGAAAATGGACCTTGGAAAAAACTCAACCCTGAGCTAGTTTATGCATTGAGAGGATTGCCAAAATCATATTAGGAGAGATAGCTGTTCATTTCCTCAACAAATGTGGGACACTTTTACACTCTCACCTCCCCTCATGCGCTAAGTGTTGGACAATATAACATGAGAGCACAATATTGGATAAACCAAGAATAGGGATAGGTTTGGCTCTTATATCATGGTAAGAAAATGGACCTAGAGCCTAACTAAACCCCAAAAGGTAACCCATGAGGTAAAGATTGCCCAAAAACATATAAAGAGACAACAATATATCCCCTCAACTTACCCTTCGGGGTGGCCCAGTGGTTTGAGCTTGGGACTTCCATGTTGGAGGTCTCAAGTTCGAAATCCCTTGCCAGCGAAAGTAAGGGGTTTGCCTTCTGGGTCGAGCTCGTCGCACCAGGCTTGCCTAGTGCGGGTTACCTCTCCTATGTGGTTTGCGAGCTATTGCATAGGAGCGGGGGTTTTACCCTGTGCGCACCCAAAGGGTAGCGGCTGCGGGTTTTCCTTGTCATAAAAAAAATAAAATATATCCCCTCAACCAATGCAGGGCATTCTAACAAGTGTCCTACTTGGTATCTTTTCATTATCTAGAAGAGACTGGTTGTATCATAATCTTTAATTGCGCAGGATGGGAGGGATCAAGGGAGAGGCGGGAGGACTGATTGAATTTTTGTTTCAACCAGCAGTCCCATTATGCAGCAATAAGATGAAAACATCTGCTAGAAAGCATATAGCTACTACTACATTGCCCTCTCTTTCTTATGCGACATTGGAAATATTTGTATTTTTGCCTTTCATTGATGCCAAATTTATTCTTATCTTTTGTCCTGAGTTATGTACTTCCATTTTCTAGGTTGCATCATCATAGGACTGCTTTGAGATTAGAGGCTACAGGCATTTCAAATGAAGTGAAAGCTTTTAGGGAAATGGAGCTGCTATCTATCGATAGGCGAGAACAAATTGCTATTGACTGCTTCGCTTATCTATTCTATTATGGCCGGCTTGGAGACATCAAACTGCACTACTGACCAAAAAAGTTGATTGAATACATAAATCAGCTATGGTGTAAACTTTCTCAACTTTACCTTATTGAGTAGAATCATCTGTTACTGTGCTACCCAAACCGTAGGGCTTCGTTGCCTCTATTCTTTTACAAACTTTGTATAAAGCAACCAATACCCTGTAAATTTCATTTCACAAATAAATGAAAGAAAAATCTTCACATGGTTCTTCTATGTGTAGACCAAATTGAGCGGAAGACTTGATGTTTCGAGGTGTGGTGGGAAACAAAATTCATGGGTGGATAATCCCATGTTCATCCTGAATAGCTAGCCATTAATCCATAGTACTTATTGGCTATCAAACCTAGTCAAGAGAATGATAAATTTTGTTTTATTTTTTGGATTTTACTTACGGAAAAGGGTTAAAATTGCCTCCGAACTATATGAAATAAACCATTTATACCCTTCGTTACATTTTGGGATCAAAAATGCCCCTATTGTTATCCTAAGAGACCACAAATACCCTCAAGAGTTAACACTCCAAATTTTTGTTGACGTGGCAAGCCACGTGGGACTAATTCTTCCACCTAAGCGTTGCCAACTAGGATTCACTACAAAAGAACTAGACCTTTAGCGGCAACAACAGTCGCCACAAAAGCCCAGAAAATCGTCACTAAAAGTTTTTAACATTAAATTCTAATTTTGTGTTTTTTTCTTCATTGTTTTAAAAAACCAAATATGATATCGATTAAGTAGGAGTTTGAAGACACTATATGTTTTATTTTTATGTCATATGTAAATGTATAAAATGTACAATGATGCATTATATATATATATATAGTAGGAGATTTGAATCGAGAAGTAATTTTGATTATTTTTAGTAATAATATTGGATGTTTTTAATATGGATATTGCAAGTTATTTATTGTAGAAAATTAGGTTGCAATCAAAAATTAATTATCATATTTTTTTGTTGAAAAAATAGGTTTTACTAGCAAATGGTTGTTGGAGCCTTAGTCGCCACTAAAAATCACTCATAACCTTTAGTGGCAATATTTTGGGATTTTGTGGCGACTTTGTCGCCACTAAAAGTCAAGTTCTTTTGTAGTGAATCTTAGTTGGCAATGCTTAGGTGGAGGGATTAGTCCCATGTGGCTTGCCATGTCACTAAAAAATTGGGGTGTTAACTCTTGAGGGTATTTGTGGTCTCCTGGGATAACTGCGGGGTATTTTTGATCCCAAAATGTAATGGAGGGTAAAAGTGATCTATTTCGCATAGTTCAGGGGCAATTTTGACCCTTTTCCGTTTTACTTATATTTACCGTCAGTTTAATCAAATTTTGATACTAGCAATGTAATTTAATATGCTATAGAAGATTGGTTGCTTTATTTTTCAGGTTACTAACTCCAACTATGATGGATGATAACCTCTAAGCACTTTTTAAATGACATGATAGTCTAATAACTTTTACACTATAGGTGTAATTTACCAGTCTTATCACAGTGTATCCCAATTTGTTGAATAGAACATTTCTCTTGCTGGAACATAAACTTAAAGATACAACTGAATGTTATTACCAAAATGTAGAATAATTATAGGACAAAGTGGCATAAAAAGATGCACAGACTTACTTGACCTTCAAAGAAGCAAGCCAAGTGGCTTCTTCATTTTTTTCAGAAAAGACTGCCCAAGGCTTCTGCTTTCTCCCTTAGGATAGATTTCTGTATCTTTCCAGTTGAAGTTTTTGGGAGATCCTGAAATATAACTGTCCGAGGTGCCATGTAATGAGGCAAATTATCCCTGCAGAAGTTGATAATTTGTTGAGAACTTACATCATATCCCTCCTTCAACTTCACAAATGCACAAGGTGTCTGTCCCCAGTAGTTATCTGGTCGAGCGACTACTGCTGCTTCTAAAACTGCTGGAAGACTATACAAAACTGTTTCCACCTCAATAGTGCTTATGTTTTCTCCACCAGATATTATAATATCTTTTGAACGATCCTTTACTTCTATATAACCATCAGGATGTTTTACAGCAAGATCACCACTATGAAACCATCCACCTCTAAAAGCTTCATCTGTTGCTTTTTGATCTTTTAAATATCCACTCATTACTGTGTTCCCTCTAAACATGACTTCTCCCATTGTTACACCATCCGCGGGCACCTTCTTCATGGTGATAGAATCTCTTACATCAACTTCCTCAACACAAAGATGTTGCACTCCTTGTCTAGCTTTCAGTATAAGTCTTTCATCTGAAGGCAAAGAATCCCACTCAGGCTTCCACAAGCAATATGTACCTGAAGGGTTAATTTCAAGTGTCAGCACTGAATTTTATTCATTATAACAGTGGAGTAGCCAAATGTTTTGTCACATTTAAGTAACTGAACTTTACCACTATAAGATTAAACTGTTATATTGGGTGAAGTTGAGTGATCATACGTGAAATTAATCTTTTACCTACACCATGTGTCTCCGTTAGTCCATAAAAGTGAATTACTCCAAACCCCAACTCCTCCATTCTGGAAATGATTTGTGGTGGTGGTGGTGAACCACCTGTCATAATCTTCACCTTGTGTGGAAGTGGTTTCTGGTCACATGACGGCGTATTCACTATCATGTTCAAGACAGTAGGTGCACCACCCATATGTGTCACCTTGTACAGTGAAATACTTTCAAATATTTCTTTTGGAGATACACTTCTGAGACAAACATTAGTGCCACCTACTGCTGCTAGACCCCATATCATGCACCATCCATTGCAGTGAAATGTTGGAACAGTCCAAAGATAAATAGGAAGTGTGCTCATCTCATGAGCCAAAAATGTGGCAATAGAATTGAGGTATGCACCTCTATGACTGAAAACAACTCCTTTGGGTCTTGATGTTGTTCCAGAAGTATAGTTAATGCTAATAGGGTCAAATTCTGTTATTGGCCACCTAATAGCAAAATCTCTGTCCCCACTTTCAAGGAGACTTTCATAATCCCAAGTGTTAGTAATGGAATTGTTAGATTTTTCTGAGATTATTACAACAAGAAGAGGTGGTTTGGTGTTCTTGCTAGAAATAATAGAAAGTGTTTCTTGAGCAAGTTGGAGAAACTGTTGATCTACAAATATGATCTTTGCTTCTGAATGCATTAGAAGTGTTGATAACATAGCTGAATCGAGACGTGTGTTTAATGAACAAAGAACTGCTCCAGCCATTGGTACTGCAAAATTCAGCTCTTGTATTGCTGGTACATTAGGGGCTAGTGTAGCAACCTACAGAAAAGAACTCCAAATCTATAAAAATAATAATCGAGGAAGTAAAAAGTAGTTGTCTTTGTTAAGATGGCATTTGGGTAAAGCTTATTAGCTAATCAAACTGACTTATAAATATTTTTAAACTTATCTACGTATTTGGTAAACACCTTAACTGCTTAAAGACAAATCAAAAGTCATAAGTTTGTCACCTCCAATTTGTGACTTTATGACTTATAAGCATTTACTATTTTATATTTGAATACTTTTTCTATCCATGTTTGACTTGACACAACCCAAGAAATAATAATAAAATGCTAATTTACTATAGTACCTCTCTTATTGTAGGCGTATAAAGGTTATTGTGTTGGGGGATTTGGAGAACTCAGAGTGGCATCATGATTAGAGTTATTGTAGGCGTATAAAGGTTGAGGAGGTTAATGATGCTATTCGTATGATGCGTAGGGGTAGAACGATTGGGCCAAATGAGGTTTCTGTGAATTTTTGAAGGAGCATGTGTGGGGTAGGTATGAAATGGCTTACTGAGTTGTTTAATGTCATTTTCAAGATGACAAAGATGCCTGAAGCGTGGAGATGGAGTAAGATGATTCAATTGTACGAGAACAAGGTGACATTCAAAATTACAACAACTATAGGGGCATCAAGTTGCTTAGTCATACGGTGGAAGTTTGGAAGAGAGTGTGGGGTCGAGATTGAAGAGGATCGTGACTATTTTTGAGAATCAGTTTGGATTTATGTTAGGACGCTCGACTACCGTAGACATTTATCTTGTAAGGAGACTGGTGGATCAGTATAGGGAAATGAGAAGAACTTATACATGATGTTCATCGACCTAGAAAGGCTTTCGACAAAGTCCCTAAGGAGGTTCTATTGAGGTACTTGGAGACTAGATGTGTACCTGTGGCGTATACTATAGGTCGATTAAGGACATGCATGATGGAATCAAGATCTGATTAAGAACAGTGAGAGGAGACTTGGAGCACTTTCCCCTATTGATGGGGTTGCACCTGGATCAACCCTTGGCCCTTTTTTATTTACCTTGTTGATGGATGAATTGATGCGACAAATTTAAAATGAGGTTTCATGGTATATATTTTTAGATACATAGTTTTGATTAACGAGACACGTGAGGAAGTTAATTCTAAGTTATAGGTTTGAAGACGGACCTTTGGAGTCTAAAGGGTTTAGGTTGAGCAGGACCAAGACTGAATATTTAGAGTGCAAGTTTAGTGAGGTGATGTTTGAGGCAGATGTGAAAGTGAGACTTGTTACACAGTCCATCTAAAAGAGAGGTAGTTTCAAGTATCTTGGGTCTATTATCCAGGAAGATGGAGAGATAAATGAGGATGTGACTTGCCATATTTGGACAAGGTGGATGAAATAGAGACTTGCATCCAAAGTCTTGTGTGATAAAAATGTGTCGCATAAACTTAAAAAAATGTGAGTTCTACAGAGTGGTGGTTCGACCAGCTTTGTTGTATGGATCAAAGTGTTAGCCAATCAGGAGCCAGTGGCGTAGCTAGGAATTTTATCAAGGGGGTCCAAACTTTGAATAGTAATTTTTTTTTAAAAAGCGATGATTTATAGAGATTTTATTTTTAATAATATTGTGATATAATTTGGGTAACTTGGTCTCCTATTTATAAAGAAAGAAAAC